TTTTGGCCCCTGACTTGGGTAAGTGCCCCAAGTGCTTGTACTGGGTCTAGTACCCGTAGGACTATTAGGCCCGTGTTTCCCGGAAGAGACAGAGCTTAAGAGGGTCCCCCTTTGGGGTGGTGGTTGCTTACATTACCCCTGGACTCTGCAGTGGGGCTCAAAAAAGGGTCTGCCAGTGCTTAGGCGCCCCTGGAGAGACGTGGAGTCCGGAAGGTGGATGGGTGTAGTGAGGTGGGAGGCTCAACGCAGGAGCTCCCCCTACTGGCCCGCCGCAACCTCAGCCAGACAAACCCTCCCCCTGTGGACCAGCCAGCTACCCCTCCTTCTGCCCTGAGTCTACCAAACCCCCATCCCTCAAGCCACTTTTGGTGCTGGTTTTATCAGCATTCACCAGTCCTGGGAGCTGAGGAAGTAAGATGGGGTGGGGGGAGTGGTGGAAGGGATGCGGGGGGTAGGTTCACTGAAGTGGCAAGGGGCTAAAAATAGCCTTTAGTTTTGGGAGTGGAGGAGAGACCCCTCATCTCCCAAGCTCCTCCCAGACCCCGTAAGCCTCCCTGATCCTGCCAAACCTTCCTGTATCTCAGCAACCTCCCCATGGACCCCACCTACCCCCCATCCACACTGCAGACCCCACTTGCCCCCTGATCCCCCATAAACAACCTGTTAGCCCCCAAGACTGCTTGTAGATGCTGCCTGCCCCTCTAATCCCCACAATCCCTCCTGAAGACTTTGCTTGTCCCCTAACTTCCCCCCACAGATGCATCCTTCCCCCTGATCCCTCCTGGAGACCCCACTCTGCCCTCTGAGCTCCCACAGGCCCTGTGTACCCCCAATCTCCCTGCAGACCCCCGCCCCCAGTCCCCACCAGGATCCTGCTTGCTCACTTTCGCTAGTCCCCCCATCCTGATTTACTTTAGATTGGGTGGCCATTTTTAACTCAATCTAATGTCTCCCTAACCTCCCTGAATCTCTGCATCCAGCCTGTAATTCTAGCCAATATTTACGGGAGTCACATAAGGAGGAGAAAATCTCTTTGCTTGTCTCCACATCATAAACGTATCAGAGCTAGGTAGATTCTAGTCATGAATTCTCTAGAAAGAGAGAGGTGTTTGTACCTTTATAGCTCCAAAATCAGGAGATTTATCATGTTCTTACTGGGATCTATCACTTTGTGATTTAAGACATTTTTGCATTTGCAAGTATTAATACACAAACAGACCAGACACGTTATGAAATTATCCCACATAATTATATATCTTTATTCTAAATTATCATTAATTTGTGAAGATAGAACCTGATGAAATTTGAAGTTCTGTTTTATAATTATGTCACAACTGACTTTTAATTGTTCCAGCTGGGTATTATTTTTTAATTTATTACGATTGGCCTCTCAAAGTTGTAATGTATAAATGCTTTCTATCTGCTTCTATTCATGATTATTCATGAGTAAGCAGAAAGGCAGTTGTTGTGAGATAAACAAGTCCTTCAGGAGCCCTTGAGGAGGCTTTTCTTGTAGCTAGTGAATTTGTGTGTCTATTTGTTGGTACTCAAGTATTTACCTAATGCCTTTTGTATGTGGTTTTTTGTGCTCCCTGTCCCTCCCTGGAGTGTCTCGTTGACAGGGCTTCCTTTTTTTACAGCTGGTTTAGCTAACTGAGGGGTGAGGCTAGGTTAGGTAGTCTTATAAAAAGGTAGTCCCTTGGGAACAGCATGAGGAGCAAACAGAGGAGGCAAAGAGACATGGAGTTTGCCCCAGCAGGAGACAGTGTGAAATCCCAAGAGTGGGTGTTGAGTGTATGGGTTTATGGTGTGTGTTTGTTTGTTTGTTTTATTCATAGCTTATGTATCCTCTAGGAAGTAAAGGAGACATTGAACAAAACTGGCCCCAGGACTGACCCCTGGGGCGTTCCACTTGATACTGGCTGTCAACTATACATCAAGCCATTGATTACTACCCTCTGAGCCCAATACTCTGGTCAGTTTTCTGTTCACTGTACAGTCCATTCATTCGGCCTGTACTTCCTTAGCTTGCCTGAGAGAATGTTGTGGGAGGCCGTGTCAAAAGCCTAAAATCAAGGCCAACCACATCCACTGGTCTCCCCATGTCCACAGAGCCAGTCATCTCATCATAGAAGGCAATCAGGTTGATCAGCCATGACTTGCCCTTGATGAATCCATGCTAACTGTTCCTAATCACCTTCTTCTTCTTCAAGTGCTTAGAATACTGTGGATATAGTTCATATGGACTTCAGCAAGGCTTTTCACAAGGCCCATGTAACTCTCTCATGAATGACTTAGAAAAACATGGGCTGGGCAAAACAACTATAAGGTGGAAAGACATATGGATCAATAGTCACATGTCAGAATGGCAGATTTGGAATGGAGTTGCACAAGGGTCTGTCCTGGGCCATGGGCTGTTTAACATATTTATTAATGATTTGGATGCTGGCATAGAAAGCTTCTTGAGCAAGTTTACAGGCAAAAAGAAACTGGAAAGGATTTTGAACCCAGAGGACAGGAGAACAATTCTGAAGAATCTCAACAGATTGGAAAGCTGGGCTGGAGCTAACAGGATACAGTTCAATACTGGCAGATGCACAGTATTACACTTTTGGAAAAATAATCATAAATACAAGTAAAAATGGGTGAAACCTGCCTGGATAGCAACGGTACAATAGGGATGGTGTTGCACAGACCTAGTATAAATAAGTCTGCAGGATGATCCAGCCACACAAACTCTGAATGTGGTTTTCAGATGCATCAGTAGAAGCATTAGGTTCAAGATATGGGATTTGATGGTGCTTCTACTTGGGACTAGTTAGGCTTCACCCAGAGTATTTTGTGCAGATTTTGGGCTCCACATTTAAAAAAACACATGGGGAAGTTAGAGAAGGTCCAAAGGTAGGCAACAAAGATAATGAAGAGCTTGGAAGGCAGGTCTTAAAGGAGAGGATAAAGGAGTTAGGTATGTTCAACTCGTGAAAAAGATGCTTAAAGGGACATGGTAGCAGTCTTCAAATACTAGAAGGGCTGCCAGAAAAAAGAGGGAAAACACCTTTTCTCTCTTCCTACAGAGAATAGGATATGGACCAATATGACTGTATAGTTTAGCTAAGAGTTTAGATAATGTATTTGCATAGGATAGTCTGGATAGGAATAATCCTGCCTCAGGAAGGAGGTTGGACTAAATGACCTCTGGAAGTCCCTTGCAGCCCTACTTCTCTATGATCCTATGATTGTCTGAGTCTCAAGAAATGATCTTAACTGTATATATCCTGAAGAACAGTGATTGTAAAGCTTTCAGGGCTTTTTAATGTAAACATTTGTTTTCATTATTCTTAAGAAGAACTTTCAGATAGCTTTAGCCCTAAACTGAAGATTTTAATTTAATTTTTTTTTAAATCTTTAACATGAATAGAAACATTTCATGCTTGTTTTCATTATTTTTAAACACAAATAATCTAATTCTGGATTTAAACACTCTTTTGCTCTATTGCTTTTTTTTTTCAAATGGGCAGTCATACTGAGTTACCCTTTCTTTCAGATATGATTTTTGATGCCCTTGTAGCAAACCCACAGGTTTTTCTTTTTTTAAACTTAAAAATACATTCCTTCCCCTTCCCCAACCATTTCTTACTTTCTCTCCCCCACTCTATCCGTTACAAGTAATTCTAAGTAGTCATAGGTAAGCTAAGAATGGGATGAATGAGGCTTGCTTGAGGCATAATGGTAGCAGGCCTCTACTGAATGATCAGTAATGACCAGACCATCAACTCGATGACCCGACCATTGCCTTGCATTGACTCACCCAGGAACCACAGACCTCACCCAGGAACAAAGACAAAACCCAGCATTTGAAACATAAAGAACCTACAGGAACCCAACATTTGGAAGACAAAGACCCTACAGAAACCAGCAACCCCACCATTGTATCCCACCAGTCAATGAGGACACCAGATCTGTATGTATGCATCTGAACAGGACTGGCCTTGCCTGGACATGTCCTTCCTATAGAAGATACAGGTAGCCCACCCCTATAAAAGGGGTGATAGAGTGTGACGTCTTTGGGATGCCCTCACCATCTGGACCAGCACTATGCCATGTCACCTATCTACCCATAGGCCCTGCCGGCAACCCACTCTGGACAACACCTTACTGGAGAAGACCCTGACTGGCCATCAAGGATCAACTCACAGCCCAGGATAGGTAGTTATCACCCACCTTCCTTCCCCAGGCAAAGAACCTGGACTCTGTCCCCTCCCCACACACCTTGACTCCAGTCCCTCCACCAAGCCTTTCCTCTGTGTGTGTGTGTGTGTGTGTGTGTGTGTGTGTGTGTGTGTG